TACATGAACTCAAAAATTCCGGTTCTTTGTGAACTCCTTTTACATTTACTAAATAAAAACATGATAAAAATGTCTATGAACAGGAACATTTACTACATAAAACAATGATAAAATGTCTATGTACATGAACATTTACTACATATAAACATGATAAAATGTCTATGTACATGAACTCAAAAATTCCGGTTCTTTGTTATTTCCTTTTACATTTACTAAATAAAAACATGATAAAAATGTCTATGAACATGAACATTTACTACATAAAAACATTATAAAAATGTCTATTTGCATGAACTCATCAATTCCGGTTCTTCGTGAACTCCATTTTACATTTACTACATAAAAACATGATAAAAATGTCTTTGTACATATGTCCTTAAATTTAGATTTTTCGACTTTAAGTTCGTAAACAATTTGTTACGACATTTACGTATCAACTTTATTTAAATTATGTGTTTGTAAATGTGATTTTAGATTCCACTTTTTGGTGAACCCTTTGTTACAAAAACTACAGACAAATGGCCGTTCTCCAGTATGTACTCTCATATGTTCAGTCAGATGATATAAACACTTATAATAGTTCATACAAATCTTACACTGGAATTTCTTTACTTTCACCTTGCTCTTCTTCTTCCATGTATTTGATGTGCACGTGTTAGATTGGTGATATTCAAGAGGAGAATGTAATCTTTGTACTGTCACTGAAAAATATATAATACAAATCTATCATGAATAAAAACATTGTGTAACTTTGTTTAAATCAACACAAACATGAAAGAATCATAAAGAAAATGACAATTTACTGATGTGTATGTTCAAATATACAACATTCGGCCGATGTGTATGTACTAAATACATCATTCGGCTGAGGTGTATGTACAAATATACATACGACTGACGTGTATGTACAAATATACAACATTCGACTGATGTGTATGTACAAATATACAACATACGACTGACGTGTATGTACAAATATACATCCGGCTGATGTGTATGTACAAATATACAACATCCGACTGATGTCTATGTACAAATATACAACATACGGTTGATGTGGTTATACAAATATACATCATATGACTGACATGTATATACAAATATACAACATACGACTGACGTGTATGTACAAATATACAACATTCGTCTAAGGTGTATGTACAAATATACAACATTCGACTGATGTCTATGTACAAATATACAACATACGGTTGATGTGGTTATACAAATATACATCATATGACTGACATGTATATACAAAAATACAACATACGACTGACGTGTATGTACAAATATACAACATTCGACTGGCATGTATGTACAAATATACAACATTCGACTGACATGTTGGTACATATATACAACATACGACTGACGTATATGTACAAATATACAACGTTCGACTGACCTGTATGTACAAATATACAACATTCGACTGCTATGTATGTACAAATATACAACATTCGACTGACGTGTATGTACAAAAATACAACATTCGACTGACGTGTATGTAGATATATACAACATACGACTGACGTGTATGTACAAATATACAACATTCGACTGACGTGTATGTACAAACTACAAATATACAACATTCGACTAACGTGTATGTAACCAAGTGATGATTGTGTGTATTGTTATTTTTCAAGAAAGACTACTCTGTCGACCTTGTTTGATTTTAGTCTCAATGTTTGTATTATTATGTCCCTTTGACCAGCTACCATGACATTTCCTTCCAAAAGTTAAGGTCATCTGTGATCATTCATGTGCTGGTTATTTTGATATGAAGTAGACCTATGTATTTTATTTAATAAGAATATGATTATTCATAAGGATTGAGGAATTTGTAAGTTTTTATAAGTTTCAATGCCTTATTTTCAATTAAAATAGTTGTACATATATTAAAAGATATTTAGATAAATTTGTATTGTTCTTGAGTGTTAGAATTCAAGATGGAGGCATATGTTCTTCTCTTACAATCACTGTTTCTATTTGTTATGCACTGATGTTTTTAATTTACAGTATTTGCAGTACAGAGTCTAATATCACGGTGTCAGTGACAGAGGTATGGTACACAACTGATAGCTTACATTATATTTATATGTCATTGTTTATATATATTTATGGAGCTACATGTATATTTTGTTCCTTTTTTAAGTTTGTATATTGTTTATTTCAAAGTTTACGTAAACAATGAAAGTAACAGATCTATTCAAAACCACTAATATGAGCAACGTATAACAACTTGTTCACAAATAACCTAGGACCAGACTACAGTAAAGTAAAAACAAGAGCTCCCATAAGACAGTGCGCTCGTCTATTCTTTTTGCTTGGCAGTAAGAAAAAGGCATAACTCCGTAAATAGTTGTTGGACATGTGCCCATCATGTTAAATAATCACAAAGAACAAGCTTGTAAAGTGTCAACCAATTCCCTTCAGTAGCGTAGGACATACAAACCTTGTAATTTAAGATATTTTACTTGGTCATTTAAAAGTCAGACCTCACCAATGACCCCATTGTAAACTGCATTTCAAACTGCATCATAACTTTCTGAGTAACTAAAGTCGGATTTACTTCAGTTGAATGTTTGAAAGTTCTTGAAAGAGGTTGAAACCCTTACATGTAAACAACGTCACAAAATGAACTTTACCCAACCAGCTGTCAACTTTTACTGACAATTTCCTGACTGATTTAACCTTTACTGACAATAATCCGACCTCTACATTAGCTGGCCAAATAATTCAGCAGTTTGGGGTATTATCTTCAGACACACGGGATGATATGGAAAATATAAACATTCTACTAGTTCTACCAAATTTATTAATTATAACAAGTAATTATGAGTACAAAAATATTTACTAATTATTTATAATGTATTAGCTACTTGAACCGTAATTACATAGATTATGTAACGATATGTTTATCAATTATTTTACAATATACATGTAAAAACAAAATTGCCTTCTTTGTTGTACACTATGTAGTCATTTTTATAACAAGAGCTGTCCGTAAGACAGCGCGCTCGACTTTTTTATTGCTTGCCAATAAAAAAAGTTTTTGCAGTAAAAGGCAATACAAGAATCTCTGTATTTTTAAAGTGAACAATGGCCATGAGCATTAAGATATTTAGTGAAGAATTATTTTACTGAATTGTGTGATACCCTTGAACACTGCAGCAAAGTTTGAAATGTTTAAGTCAAAAGAGGGCTGGTAAGAAAGAAAAAAAAACTGAGTTGAGCCTTAAATAAATTTAATAGTATTAAACCCACTTTGAGAGAATAAGGTATTTTTACATCACTCAGAACACCTTGGTAAATGACATAATAACATAATTTTTCAAGAAATCTATGCCAAGGAAGCAGTATATTTTTGTACAATCAGCATAATATATAGATTTGACTTTGTATGTGAAAGTATTATAGTTACCTTATAATACAAGTAATAGATAAATTTTATCAAGCTTTTTTAGATGTTGTCAGTTGGTCACAAGTGGATCTCTTTCACACAGGCTGTGGGTGACTGGTTACTTTTCGTGGGTCCACTATGTAGATAATGCGTTGTAAAACTGATATTTGAATTACATGAAGGAAGTTCAATTCATTATTTAATGTCATGCTAAATGTTCATGAAATCGTGACATTGAGTATATTTTTTACCAATTGGGGCATCTCGTTGAACACATTCATTCTCACTATCTTCGAATGCTCCTAATTTCTGTATGTAAGCACAGTGTAGCATCACGAAAACTGAATATAAGTTATATGATTTACTGGTAAAAGCCAATTCATGGAAGTCTATCAGTTCTGCAATATATTACAAATTATCAATTTACACTATTTATGTCATATGTACACTTGGTATGTTCCAAAAAACTGTAAATTTTTAAGATTCCATCTCAGTTGAAGAAGAAACTGGTTTGTGGTCCTGAGAAGTAAGTCTCCAGCACAGAACAACTAGCAACTGTTAGATCTCGTGTAACGTATACATGATCTATTAATGTTTTGAAAGTCTGTTTGTGGAGCAGTCAACAAGTTGTGCCACAGTGAAGTACAGCTTCAATATAAGTATCTCTCGGTATCTTTTTTAAATCATGATTGAAATCACCAATATAAATCTGCGGCTGCTGTGTATTGTCCTTTGATATGTTAGATAGAAATGTTTTTACAGTATTCTTCTTTGTTTTTGGAGAAGTGGATAGGAATGAATTTTTTTAGATTTTTTAAGTTTTTTAGTGCTTGCCTATAATACAAAACATTGACAGTTAAGGGCCATAATTCAAATAAAATCTTTGACAGAATTACCTTCTCCTGGACATGTTTGGGAATCATGATTGTAAACAAGTATTCCAACTTTCAAATTAATATCTCAAACAGTTCAGTCAAAAAGTGGACTGGTACTAAAAACTTAACCAAGATTCTAAGTCGATAAAAAGGCCTTAATTTTTAAAACAAATCCTTGACAGAGTTACCTTCTCTTGCGTACAGATGGGGGTAATGATGTGAAATAGCATTAAAAGTTTCAAAGCAATATCTTAAAGGGTTAAGGCAATAAGTGGATTTTACCCATATTCAATGTATTTTCTAAGTCAAAAAGGGGCATAATTCTGTCAAAAACCTTGACAGAGTTATGTCCTCTTGTCTGTTGATGAAGGTCGTGATGGTAAACAAGTATGGTCAGTTTCAAAGCAATACCTCCAATGGTTTTGAAATAAAGTGAGGTGGTACAAAAAACTTAACCAAGCTCAATACACTTTCTAAGTCAAAAAAGGGCCATAATTCTGTCAAAAACCTTGACAGAGTTATGTACTCTTGTCTGTAGATGGAGGTTATGATGGTGAACAAGTATGGTAAGTTTCAAAGCCATACTTGTAATACTTCTGAAATAAAGTGGGGTGGTACGAAAAACTTAACCAAGGTGTGACGCCAACGCCGACGCCGACGCCGACGCCGGGGCGAGTAGGATAGCTCCCCTTTTCATAGAAAAGTCGAGCTAAAAATAAACTTTTTAGTAAAACATAGTGTAACCAAAGTCATGAAAATAACCCATGAAATGTTCAACAGTTCACCGTGATGATTATATCGGCGTTACTATTGCACTCCTGCGTTGTTGTTGTTTGTTTGTTTTTTGTTGTTGTTTTTTCACATTCCTGTGTTAGGGGTATACACGACATTTACTTAGTCAGCTAAACTGTTGAAGATGTAGTGTTTAATGATGTATGTAATCTTTAAAGGCAGACACCTTTTACGTTAATATAAAATACTAAATTAGTGTGAATCAAACAATACAACAGCATGCAGTAAAGCAAACGAGTTTGATAAATGAAATATGAAATCTACAAAAATATGATTTTCCATTTTATCATATATACACTTAGAATATTGAAAACAACACACAGTGTATCACTTTAACCTCCTTACTAGGTACAAAAGTGACACACAATTTATTACTTTAACCTCCTTAATTTGTACAAAAGTGACACAATTTATTACTTTAACCTCCTTAATTTGTACAAAAGTGACACAATTTATCACTTTACATTTCTGTCCTATATAGTTACAAATTATAAACAATATAAAAACTACAAATTAATTATTATACGTCTGGTTATAATACCATTTTCTTTGGAGCCTAAATATTTGAACTTTTCATTACTTTTCTTGCGCAAGAAACAACAGGAAGTAGACTGTGTTATCCACTGTGATATAACTGCCAATGGAGCTGAAGAACATACATTTTGGACAGGATGTTTGTCTTAACTTCAGAAAGTAACTTAAAACCCTTTAACAAAACTCACACATCAAACATTCATTATTATTCTAAAAATGTCATTATACACAGTGTTGACAATTACAGAAGCCAAAGAAAAAATATATACAATGTTATAAGACTTTTACACTGGCTGCCGGTACAGACCGGAATATCTAGCTCGAGGGTAACTGTTAACGGCGGTAAGGAGGCTCTGTCGAGTTTCCGCTAAACAGTTACCCGAGAGCTAGATATTCCCGTCTGTACCGACTGCCGGTGTTTGATTCTTTTTCTTGCATATTACATGTCAATTATTTTCGGAATAAATATTACGAAAACAGATATTCTCATTACGCACTTTTTTCTTACAGTAGCGAAATTATGAAATATGAAATTACAGCTTCATTCATAACGGAAACAATGACGGTCATCCTATGAACGCATTCATAAAAGGCACGCAGCAATGACGTCATTTAAAACACGCGACTTGTCTTACATTGGGGTGTAAGACAGGGTTTTCTAGCACCGACGTAAATGGTAGAAAATCCTGTCTGATATGCAAGAATATAAGAATCTTACACTGGCTGTCTGTTCAGACCGGAATATCTAGCTCGAGGGTAACTGTTTACAGCGGTAACGAGGCTCTGCTGAAATCCGCTAAGCAGTTACCCGAGAGCTAGATATTCCCGTCTGTACCGACAGCCAGTGTTTGATTCTTTTTCTTGCATATTACATATCAATTATTTTCAGAACAGGAAATTACGAAAACTGATATTCTTATTACGCACTTTTTTCTTATAGTAGCATATGAACTTACAACTTCATTCATTAAAGGTCAAATGACGTCATCCTAAGAACACAATTTATTCATAAAAGGCAAACGGCGATGACGTCATTTAAAACACGCGACTTAGCTTGTCTTACATGGGGGGTGTAAGACAGGGTTTTCTAGCACCGGTGTAAGCGGTAGATAATCCTGTCTGATATGCAAGAAATATATTTACAGGTACATTAAATAAAGAAATTAAAAAACTGCAAACATTCATAATGAATATTAAACCTAGAAGTACAAGCACTAGAGCATATTTGAGTTTTAATTTTGATCCTAACCTTTGAACCTCAATGAAAGGAAGCTAGATGCTTTAATTTCAAAGTAAAATTGAAATAATTCTATACATTTCATACTAGTATGATTATAGTTTGTCCCATCAAATTTAAGCAGTTCATTTCTTATTAAATACTCGTATAATAGTAAAATCATTTAAATTAATGTCATGTTTACACTGACGTCAATATCTCAAAGCAATGCAAAGTGCTATCCATAAATACACTTAACACCTCCAGGAAAAAAGTTCTTTGTGATCGATATCAAATAAGTTGTTCATTTCTGTACTATAACTAATAGTTACCTAAATATACGCACAACTTATTTGATGAAAATAAGAAATTTACATAATGTATAAATATTTACAAAATTCCACAGAAAGTAATCACCTACAGTTCAAAATATACACACATGTATGCCGTTTCTACCTAACTTTTGTATGAGTAATCTGATGTTCTTCCTTTAGCATTTCCAAAAAATAATAGCTGTTTGTTTCAAAATCTTACAAGTTACTATGAATGCGATGTTTCGAATCATTATTAACGGCGAACGTTCTCTAATACATGTATGTTATCTTAATCATACTGCTTTCTCCGCCCACCTCCACAAGGACGACCACCTCCAATAGGACGGACATTTCCACAAGGACGGCCACTTCCACCAGGACGATCCGGGGCGTACTTTAGGCACATCATAATTGCATTTGTGACGTCATGTTCTGTTATATTTGTACTATAACTGTCTGTAACTTGTGACCTCATAACGCTGGCTAAAAGTAAAATACATCAAATACTCATATTATATGGCTAAATATAAATTGATAAATAAAAATAATAAGTTTTATCGATTTTTATGGCTAAAAATAAACCTGATAGGACACAAAATCAGTTTTATGGCTAGAAACAAAACAGATAAGTCAAATTAACAGTTTATTTGGCTAAAATAACATAGCTAAGTAATAAAAAACCAGTTTATATGGCTAAAATAAAAATAAAATTGATAAGACAAATAAAAGGTTTTTATGGCTAAAAATAAAATAGGCAGGTCAAATATTAAGTTTAAATGGTTACAAATAACTTTTAATACATATTATTATGGCAACATACACAAAAATGTACTTGAAAGCTCTAACAGAAGAAAACAAATCGCAAACAGTGTTTTAACTAATAGAAAATACAAGCTTTACATAAACTTTTTAATCTATTCTGAATTAGTAAATATATTCAAATACATTAATCTCGGTAAAAAGGCTGCTGCGTTTGATGGTTGTTCATACGTTATAAAAAAAGAAGAAGAACTTACTAATCAATGTTGAAATATATAAAACTGAACATAAAATATTGAAAGGTGACTTACAGATAACTAGTCCACACACTGGTGAAGCTTTGAATGACAACTTTTGTTTGTTTCCCGCCATGTTAAATTTGGACATCAGTTCATTAGACATCAACCTGAAAATTTACAGTAATGTCTGATAATTATGAAACATTTAATTAAAAATATAAATCTATTTCTTTAATTTAAATCATAACTATGATTCGCTCTTAAAATTTCAAATGAAAAATCAAATCGTTGCTAAAAAAGAAATCTAAAGAAATAGTCTTAAATTTTCATTATACTATTTTTAACAGCGTGAGAAAAAAGCAACAGTAGGTACATACTTCTCCATTATTTTTTTGACAATGTCTCTCAAGGTCAACCCTCCAATCATTGACAGCGTCTTTACCTGTAGAATATTCACTTATTAATGTTACATTTAATAAATTTCATAAAAACAGATATAGAGACACTTCATTAATAAATTCGGTTTCATATCGACTTCAGATCTTATTTTGGTGTCCAGGCAACCAAAATGAGTTTTATAAGCATAAAAATCTGCATTCCTCATTGTGACGAATTTCTGTATGCATGAGAAACTCCGCCTTCAGATCATCCGTACATCAATAGAAAATCAACAAACATGTCCTAATTTAACGGTATATTGCCGTATTGTAACGGATGTTTTCATACAAATTGAATCTTTTTAATGAGATGATTACTTTTTTTCTGAACCCCAGGCCTAGTGCACAGTGAAGCTAAAACGGTTAAAGTGTGTTTGCACAAGAAAATCTCATATTTGCTGTGTCCCGGATAGCACATATAACACTGTGAAGTAGCACATACACGAGCTGATTATAGTCTTCATTTGCATGTTAAAATTCGTTAATACCGTGGTTGTTAAACCGTAATTTATGAACAATTTTGTTTTAAATGTACAACAAACTCAAAGTTTAATGAAACTGTAAATTCTGGTTTTTAGGCCGCAGGCAAAAGCTTTATATCCAAAGTTTTTTTTTAATGTAATAGTACCTTTGACCTTTACTTGCTCAATAATATTCTTTACATATGAATCAGCTTAATTTAAACATGAATGGCAAAGCAAGAAACATTGTCCTAAATTTTCTCAGACTGGATAGTAAAATAAAAAAGCAGCATAGAAACGGGAGTAAGTCATTCAAAATGCTTCAGACTTACCCACTTTTGGGTAAAAAACAAAAGTATTACTTTCTGAGTATATATCTTGCTATTTATGAACATGCCAAATTGAGATGAACAAGTAATGTTATTAACGAAAAATTTAACTTAACAAAAGGAATTTCCAGGAATAAAATCAAAGAATAATTAGGACACAACTTTTAAAAAATAGCAATAACTGAAGCTTTAAATCTTCAAAAATAGAATCATCCAATTTATAAAGTTGTAAGCATTGCAATTTGACCTTAGCAATAAAAAAAGGCCATAATAGTAAACTTTAATCTACACCTTTTCTGAAATAGAGTTAAAATATTTATAGTCCATAAATGCATACCAAACTTTCAAGTGTAACTTGATAAAAAGAGAACAAGGCTTTAAACTTAAGTTGAAAAAGATCACAAAATTGATAAAATTTGTCCCTCCAATATGAAAAAACTCTTTATCGGATAAAATAGTACAAATGTAAGTAACACCTAACTGTCTTAAACCTAAGGTAAAATTTAATCTAGCTGACGCAAACATGTAAGTTTCTTCCGTACATCAAAATAGAAGAATTTAATAAAAAAATTTTATCTATAACAACCTGATTTATCTGTGTTTAAATTTATACCTCAATGTTTCCACTGTAATTTTGAACTGTCAGACATTTTCAGACTCGTTTCCGTGTAGTGTCAGTTGATTTAGTAATTTAGTCATCAATTAAGTTCCTCTGGCCTAATATTTGAACTTTATCCATGCAATGAACATAAATATGGATTTGTCCGTCTTACAATATGGAAAAAAAAACATTCATCATTCACGGAAAATAACAATATAAGTAAAGACTGAATAGCCAACAGCACAGCCTATTATCAGACCTAGGGTTACTATAAAATTATTTTTGTTGAGGTAGAATCAGGCAGGTTGAAGATCAAAATCTTGATTTAAAAAAAAATAAACTCACCATTTTTACTCTTTCCTCTGGGATTTTAATCTTTACTTCTAATTCCTTTAAATCCTCCAATGTTTCCACTTGATTAATTTCATAACTGTCAAGAACATTTTCAGCTCGCCTTTTTCCAGATTTAAGTGACAAAATTTCTTTTTTCAAGTCACTCAACATAAAAAGCATTACCCTCTGGAATCCTAAAATGAAATTTGTTCTCTTATTTCAGTACATGTTTGTGCAATAAAATATTTTTCCTTTTTCATATAAAAATAAAAAGCATTGTTTTTATGCAAGATATGTTTCACTACAACAGCATAATAATAATCTGCTGGACGAGCTATACATAGAGGATATTGAATGAGTGTAAGTTTAATACTGAATTTTTGAGTTGAATAAAATTATATAATGCGAGCCTTTCTGGCGAGCATAATATTATTATATTCGACGAGTTCAGTGAATTTTGTAATGAACTTACACGAATTTAATATTCTATTTATCACATACCAAAAATAAAGACCGTTTGAAGTGAAAAAGAACCATTTTTCATTGATGCGTCTATAGTATAACGCTTACACTTTGCGCGTCTGAACGCTATGTTTATATAAAGTAAATGACGTAACGTCCAAATATATGCACGGCCGTGCAATACCATATTTACGGAGTCGCAAAACGGTACGGGTATATGATAAATAAATATTTAATATCTTATCATATTGCTGCATAAACCCTTACCACGATAAATCTCTCAGATGGACGTTTCCATCTTTAAATCTGGACAGAACCATTCATCATTTACAGGGAAAATTACAAAATAAGTATTGACTGAATAGCTAACATTGCAGACCATGCATGTAACATGACCATGAAATAAGCTTAAAAAACCTGTGTAGGGCAGTTGTTTGTTTGCTGTTGAACGTAGAAAAGTAAGAACAAGGAAAACGGGGCAGAAAATTCGGAAGAAACAACTTCTACATCAATCAGAATGAAATTACTTTGCTCATAGACAGTCTAACAGTAGACATAGACAGTAAGTACAGTCTAACTTGCTCCAACGACCACGTGTATTTAGCGACATAAATTGTCTTATGCGACCACTACATAATCCCCCGAGCATTTTCTCTCTATATCTGTAATGTGTTAAGCGACTTTGGCTCAACCTGCGACCTCTTAGTCAGCTAATTGAAATCAATCTTTTAGTTTCAACATATTTTATTGTATATACATGTACATACATACATAGAAATTCACAATAATACACAATTAAACACAAATACATTAATGTAAATATACAAAAGGGTTGAGCCAAAAGTTACAACATTATCCATCTTTTATCAAGCGACCACTTGTATAAGTACAAGTTTTGCTATCATTGATGTAAAAAAATCGCTATAAATTGAACAAGAGGGCCATGATGGCCCTGAATCGCTCACTGAGATACATTGCTAATAATTGATAATAATGTTAGCAATTCTTCGAACCAGACGAAAGTAATAAGGGAATATTGGGTGCGCTATTTTTGCTAAATAAACCCAAACTTTATTTGCCTAACATATTTATAGATATCCGCTAGAAAAGATTACGTGGTGAAAATTATAGATCATCATACAAGAGGAATCGAATGTTTTTTTCCTAAGAAAGTTTATATTAGCTTTGTGAACTCTAGGGCTGGTCAAATTGTAACAAAAGGGGCAGTTTATCTTCTAAAGATGATCGCAAGGTGATGCTACATGCCAAATATCTACGCTCTGGCATTATAGGTTTTGAAAAGATTTTTAGGACGTTTTTCAATATTTCCATTTTGTATTCCAAGAATTTGATTTATATCACTTTTAATTGTTTGTTATCCACCTAACAGCTTTCTGGGATAACTTACCAGTAATTTACAACTTCTCCGCAAGTGACCGACTATATTAATTTCCCGTGATTTCTGAATCAACAATGAGGGACGAATCACCACTAGACCCAATGTCCAAGATTAGTTGTTGCGAAGAAGACAATGCTTTAATGCCAAACAAAGATGTCGTACCTTTTATTGCTATCCTTATTAATTCGTTATTTGTTTTGAGAGTTTGGTCTTGAAAATAACTTTATAATCAACAACTTTTTTTCAAACTAATTGCATTTGAGTATTCTTTCGTTACAGCAAATAAGCATTTAGTATTTGTTACATATTGTTCTTATTTACAAAAAAAAATGATATAGTGTTAAAGTCACGTTTACTGTACCTTATATACACACACGATAATTTTATTTTATGATAAAAACATTTATAAGATGGTGGTTGTGGTGATAGTTTACCCTTTGGCAGTAAGCCACTTGGAATATATTTTAAGAAATACCTCATAATTCGAAACACTAATGAATCGTTAATAACAACTACCACTTGTCCAGAACCTTTGCTATAACTTTGACACGTTAAAAAATATCCAGCGTTTCGGCTAATTATCTGTGATCTAAATGTTTATTAATACTTTTTTTTCAGAAAGTCCCTTATAGCACATATCATGATGTTATGTAAGAGTGACTGATTCATAAAACCGTAGAATGTTTGTTGTACATATGGAGTCGTAATGCTCCTTTCCGTATAAATCCCATATTGCACAGGTTGCAGGTATACGGTCTTTCTCCCGTATGTATCCGTATATGTTCATTTAGATGACCTCTCTGTTTAAATAGTTTCCCACAGTACTCGCAATCCATTCTTTTACGTTTCTTATCATCAGCGTGTTGGTCAGTCTGCTGTACAAACAATATTGCACTTTCTATGGGGTCTTTATATACGTCACCAACTGGAATAAACAGAAAACGAAAGGTCATGAAAAAATTCAAATTAGTATTTATAATTAGCCAGACGCATAAGTAAAATATATAATAAAATATATTAAATGGTCTTTGTAGTTAATTGACGTAAATAGCATATTCGAAAACCTTAGTAATACTTGACCTACCATAGTTAAATATTATATACAAGTTTAGATTAAATATGTTAATTTCTGTCTTCTTATAAAATAACGCTTATTAATAACTATAGGTATAAACAAACATTGATATGCACAATGTGTACATGGTTTGTTGTACAACAATATATTTATATATTCATATTTATTTATTTATTAAAGTCTCATCTATATACATGGTACAATATAATACAACATAAAAATATCAATTGAATATTATATAGCCATTCTATACAGAACTACAACAATGATCAGTCGGTAATACAACAGGTCAAAATCAAGGCAGTTGGATTCTTCCTATTAGCCATAAATCAAATACATTTATAATAAGCCTGCCTTGGATGTCGACAAAAGTTCGGCACCGACTGATAGTGATAGTTAATCACCGGTAAAAATTATTTAAGGTGATCTTACTGCAATGCTTTCTCGCCAAAAATTCTGATATCGGCCAATAACGTAATAAATCGGTCATTTCCGAACATTATTTTTCGTAATCTTCGGTATAACAATAATTTTTAACCGTTTACAAACGGAATTTATTACATTTAACAATAAAGGATGTGTGATTGTAAATAATTTAATGCCTAATATTTCGAAAAAAAAAACGTTCCGGAAATAATCGATTGGCTACGATATTAGACGAGGTTAGAATTTTTTGGCGGGAAAGCATTACAGTAAGACTACCTTAATATCACAAACTCTTCTAGCAAGTATGTAATACGCCTAGTAGTAACTCTAGATGCATCATAAAATTAGTTCACTACACAGTCCGTTGCCCATTTTGGCATTTCTATGAATAAATTTCATTTTATTGACATTTTCTTTTAAGAACTTTTGATTAATATATAAATGTCCACATGACAAACAGGTAATACTTATTTAAAAATTGGACCACCGATATTCTAAATAACAAGTATGTCGTCGTCGTCGGATTTTTTATGTTTAAATAACAAGTATGACATATTAGTAAAAAAATATCTTTCACAAATCCAGATAGTTCTAGCTATTATTGGGGCTTATAAAACTGTGGAAATCATAATAAACCCATTAAAGTCATAAACTGTTGGTAATATTAATGCTGACTTTATACGCACAAGTTAACATTTAATACTAATTTAATAGTTATCCAGGCAATCTTGATTTAATGTTATTGATTGTTTTCTATTAATTCTAGTAATGTTTAAAACTCAAATAAAAAGCATATTAATTAAATATTACTAAACAACAAGGTAAGGGCAAAATACACAGTATGGTGTTAGTCAACAACAGTATCAAGAAGTTTTCATTTTATCTTCTTTGAAATATGAAGATAAATAAAACAAGTGTGACAGACAATCATTGCATTAATTCTATATTATTGTAAGTCTTTGTTTCATTTTCTTTAAAGCACCATGACTGCATTTTTCTGTTCTCATGGCCTTAGGTGTTTATTCCACGTAGATAGTTTAAAAGGCCTATTAATTAAGCCTCTAAAATTATATATGTTTAATTTTCAAAAACTTTTACTTTTGATGTCGTGTAACAGTTTTCAAAACATTACTCATTGGCCAAATACCTGAGCTATCGTTTGCGAAATTTGCATTTTTGCAGTATGTTTAGTTATAATGAGAGTATTTTGTATAGAAGTAAACTACTACCTTATTTATAATTTACTACCTTTATAATAAATAATTTCACATTCACATGTACATTTTGAGTCACTGTTACATCTCCAAATGTTTTAGTTAAAGAGATGTTCAAATGCCAATGTTTCATCTAAAAACAGAAATAAAACACTAAAGTCTTGTGATAAAAGCAATCTCGTAAAGTTATTATGTGAAACAAAATCAGAATGTTTCATGAAATAAGTACAGTGGAACCTGTCTAATCAGAACACGTCCGGACTACAAAAAAAAGTTCAGATTACAAAGGTTTCCGGATTAGATGTTTTTATGCATATTTGTACATGTGAACGGCAGAAGAGTTTATGGAAAGAAAAAACGGAAATGCATATGAAATTGATACATTTTTAATATATGCAATCTTATAAACTCATTATACAGATTCTATATGTTTCTGAAGCATATGAAGACGTAATAACCGCTCCCGAATAAAACCCTTATTACAAAGTGTGCAATTATAAGGGCGCTCTCCGGTATGTGTCCATCTGTGTTCATATAAATGTCCTTTATGTGTAAACATTTTCTCGCAAAATTCACACTTCATGACCTTCCTATTCCGTGATCTTTTTCTACTGAACA